AATCACTTCACATTGTACTTAACATTGTGCATTAGAAGAAAAATGAGTATAACACGAAAGGAAACATGCTGCCAAAAGTTAGGATATTAAACTTCCTGAAAAAATGAAATTGGAACTTGAAGATAAATGTTGTTTTATTTGGAAAGACAGGATATATGGTTTTTGGAGAAGAGTTCAATGCATTGTACTTGTGAATACTGTAAAAAAAATTATTCTTTGCCTTGTCATTTGATTGAGCAAAAAAACATCAAAATGAACTAATCTGTATTTCAAAGCAAGAAAAATGAACTAAGGGGGTGACCCATAACTACCCATTGGATACCTACTTGCATTCCTAGTCTAACCTCATGTTGAATTTTCTCCAAAGTTTGTGCAAGAGTTTCAGGGGCTTATTTCTTTGTTCTGAGAGTTCATATAAGAAGCTGTCCATAGGATTATAATCCTTCAAAATTCCTTGGTTTCCCTTTGTTTAAAAAGCAGGGCTAAGTGTTTTGACATTCTGTGCTTAGTAGTTGTGAGCTGTGACAAATAAATGTTGTAGGTTTTTCAGTTCTAGGCATATAAGTCTTTTGTTGTGTTCAGCGTTTTTCCTGTATGGAACTTACCTTTTCTTACAGAATGTTTACTTGAATTTTTCAGTGGGGTGATTGGGTTTCTGCTATGTGCCAAAGAAGGTCACGGTGAACTTTCTGACTCCTATAAATCCAATTGAAGAAGTGGAAGGAGCTACTAAAGCAGGAAGGAGATCAGATTTTATAATTCAGAGGTCAGTTTTCCTTTAATCAATCGCATATGATTTCTTGTGCCAATATTTTAATTAGCCTGTGCTGCCTTTTGTCCTAGTATGCAGAAGTTTATCTTAATGGCATGATCCAGAAATTCTAATTTTCGTTAACTACCCTGCTATGCGACGATGGAGTCTGAGTGGAACATACGACTCCCATACCAACTAGTTTAGGGCCAAGTTGCATTAACAGCTTGTATGATTTGGTAGTAGTCGAGTCTTGTGTTTCATCTGTACTACGGGAATGTTCAGTATACCTACTGTTCTTTTTTTTTGCTCACCCATTGAAGCCCATTCAACTGCAAACCCTTATGTGAGATTGCTTCCATTAAGATTACTCCACCCTGGTTAATTTTCATTGTTCAACAGATGCATAGAGCAGCGTTTGTTCTTCCGACCTTTGCGAAGAGAGAGCTAGAAGCATATTGCGCTTCTGCAGAAACAGTAAGTTATTTACGAATCGTGACAAGTGATTTTTAAGAATATTTCACAAGCAAACTCATATCGACAGAATCTGTGCACCATCTTACAGGAGCAGGCAGAGGAAACAATAGCGGCAGCGCCACCAAAGCTAACTGTGGCGCCAAAGAGTGGAATTCTCACCGCATCATAACTAGACCGGAGCTCACAACTCAGAACCAAGACATCTAGAAACCGTTACTTCCTGGCATTCCCTAGTATCGCCATTGGATACGCTAATGTACTATCACGTATTGTAAGCATGGACATGGAGTGTGTGGGGTGCATTGGGATTTGACGCGTAATGAGGCATCATGTGTTAATAATAATTCATGCTCCGAGGTACACCAACAATGAGATGAGAAATGGCATTCAAAGGAAAAGACGAACAGTGTGACGAGTCTGACGTGATGAGCATTCCACATTGCATTTTACCCGTTCTATTTCGCATTTTGTTGGTGACGTGGTGTGTTGGGCTAGTGTTTGGTGGTCATTTTTTCTTCACCACCGGAGTCCAGAGGTGTGCTTCCAGGCTTCCAGCAATGAATACGACTGGCTATGCTGCTGAAGCATTTTGTGAAGAGTTATGACTTATAGAATCATTTTTAGTCATAGAATTATCTCAGAAGATAGATGATGACTTTCCTTTTTTTTGTCCTAAAATAAACTAGAGAGTTATAAATAATCACTTCTGAAGATAGATGATAAATTATCTCTCTCAGAAGATAGATGATGACTTTCCAGGTATCTGATTTTTGTTGTTTAGAGAACATGCAATTTCGTTATTGTTTGGCTATATATAGGGAAAAATCATGAATCATCTCTTGCGAGTTAGTTGTTCTTTACATTAAATTGATTGTGTTAAATTGTTAACTGAATTTTCTAAAATTCCAGCATCTGAAATAGAACAACTCCCATGAATAATCATTCTTGGTCATAGGAGAAGCTCCACGACAGGAGAAGTAGCGGCCAATCACGGCCCTACCCCGGACCTCGTATCCATGGCCCATGAGAGAAGGCTGCTGGAGGGTGGTGGGGTGCGGCGCAACAGCGCGGTCGCATCGCCGTCGCCGTCGCCGTCGCCATCCTGCTGCCGGTGGGCCGGAGGGCCGGGCGGGGCCGGGTCCCTAGCAGCAACAGCAAGCAGCTAGGATTAGGAATGCAAATGCATGGACTGATGCACAGAGACGGCTGCAGGCAAGGACGGGAGTCCAGGACGACGACAGAAGCGATTGCTTCACGAGGAGAAAAGCCTTTTGCTGCTGCTGCTGGTGGGCTGTTGGCAGATGAGCAGCCATGGCCAGTCACTCAGGCTGTTCGGGAGGCCGTATCGTATCGTGGATTATTTACTGCTGGCTAGTTTGGTGTGAGAGAAAAACACTGTTCCCGGCTGGAAATTTACGATCGTTTACGAGCAAACGAACATGCCGACACCGGCCGCCCTGGGAGCTGGGATCCATCCATCTCCATGTCCAAAGGAGACAGGTGACAGCAGCAGGCACGTGTACACCGCTCCAGTTCAAGAAACCAGCCAGTCAGACAGTCTATCGTGCCATCATGGCCCATGCGGCCATGCCCCATTACTGTCCCATGGCTTAGCAAAGGAGGAAAAATATTAATCCCTCCGGGTCGATAAAAAAAGTCGTTTTAGATAGTGATATAGTCTCCGAAGCATAACTTTAACTTCTTATTTTTATAAAAATATTTATTGAAAAGTGATATACGTATATTTTTATGAAAGTACATTTCAAGACAAATCTATTCATATGGTTTTCACATTTCCAAACTCAACAACTTAAAAGTTATTTATGATTTATATTTTCAATGTTTGACCCAAACATTTTCTAAAACAACTTCTTTTACCAACCTGGAGTAGGTGCAAACAGAAAACCACATTCACGGTGGAATCGTGAAAACCTCCGTAGAAAAACATACTTGGGAACTTAAAAAAAACTGAAATGATGCACATTTTTAGGCCTTGTTTGGCAACCTCCCAGAGCTGATTCTCTGTTGAATCCAGTAAAAACTCTGCCAAACAGTTTTTCAGAGAGAAGTGAAGTGATTCTCTAAAATGAACTAAGAAGCTAGGAGCTGAAAAAAATATCGTGGATTTGAGAGTTTATGTTAAAGAATAAAAGAGAATCAAGTTTTTCAGAGAGAAGTGAAGTGATTCTCTAAAATGAACTGAGAAGCTAGGAGCTGAAAAAAATATCATGGGTTTGAGAGTTTATGTTAAAGAATAAAAGAGAATCACTTTCAGCCACAGAATCACTTCTTTCAAAGAATAAGTTTCTATAGAGAATCAGAACCAGATAAAGCTCTACCGAATGGACCCTTGTACAGATAAATAGAGATGAGCATGTATAACAACATCTAGGACCTCCATTCCTGGCATGATTGCATGGTTCCGTGAATATGAGGGTTAAGCTTAGATGTAGGGACAATCTAATGGTTAAATTTGAGGACTAAAAAAGTAGGAGAAGCCTTCAAGCTTTAAGTGCGACTCCTGATTTAGAGGTCATTGTTGGACTTGCTCTTACTTATTAACCATCCACATTGCTGCACTTGTTCTTACTCCCTCCCTTCATCCCACAAAAAAATTTGTTCCCAAGCTTTTGAGCTTTTTCACAAATGAATTCGTTTTCCGTGGTCCACGGTGAAATGGGACGAGTTTGCCCCCGCGCAGCCTCTTCGTTTCGGCAGTAATTAATGGGCCTCTTCGTTTCCTGTATGATCCTCCTGCCTCGGGTCACGGCGTGCTCGCCACTCCAGCTGAAAACTTTTGTTGTATAAGTGATACCTGCAATCCTATTTAATAAGAGTATACAGGAAAAAAAAATTATAATTAATCACTTCATGGTATCTTAAATCATGTCCAAAACAAAATTATTTCTTGGATGGAGGGAGTATTAACCGTTCACATTTCTTGTACAGATAGATAGAGAATGAGCATGCATAACAACATCCCAAGAGGAGGCGTAAAACATACGAGAAAGAACGATGGCGACGTCAGATCGATCGATGTTGGTGTGACGGCGCAACAAAAACACCTCAACTGCCGCCCTTTTCTCCCCTCCCTCCTTCCATCGGTAGCCTTGCCTTGCTACTAGGTACACCAAGGACCGATGTGATGCCTCATCCTTTAAGTATGATTTTATAGGCACCGACCAGCACTAACCTCCATCCATCGTGTAACCAATCGATCTCTTGCAAACATTCCAATTTGCAACCCATCAAATAAAAAGGACTTGCCTTGTGGCATGTATGATCACTGTGCTACGACAAAAAAAAACGAATGGTAATTGTATACGCGTATGTATGTGTGTGTGTGTCTAGATATACAGAGAATGCAATGGAATATATATATATATATATATATATATATATATATATATATATATATATATATATATATATATATATATATATATATATATATATATATATAAACAAACTAGGAGTAGATATTGAGCTAGCAGCTAGCTGCTGTAAAAAATTTGTACACAAGAATTAAGATAGGAGTGTATCTCTATGTATATTGTAGTATATATATATATGTACCACTATCATCCCATCCCAAATCAATTCTTCCTTTTTCTTTTATTGCCCTTCGTGTTCCTAACTAATCTTGTGAAGCTGCGTGTGTGAGGGTGGGCAAATTGGGAAGACAACCAACGACTGTCACGGTCCCATGGACTCAAGGTTGGTCTGCCTCGGCAATGGTGCCAGTAGTCACTGTCTGTCCGACAACACATCATCAAGAGTCGCCGCTGGAGGAGGAGGTATTCGCCGCCGCGGCCGCCGCCTCTGTCCGGGCTCTGAACCCGATCCGGCAGATCTCGGCGGGGCTAGGCGCGTCCCACCGCTCCGCGAGGGCCTCGAACTTCTCCATCTGGTCGACGCACTCCCCGGCACCCATCTTTACCACGCTCCGCCTGGCCCGGGCGGCGTCATCTCCAGCGGCGGCGTCGAACATCGCCTCCCACCCATCCTCCCACGGGCCCGACGCGTCGCAGAGCTCGACGGTCCCGTTCCGGTACTCGGTCCAGCTCCACTCGCGCTGCAGCCGCGCGACGCTGCTGCGCTCGGCGCGCACGCGCCGACGCATGCGGGGCGGCAGGGCCGGCACTTGGCGCCGCTGAGCGGGCCGGCGCTGCCCACCGACGCGACGGGGACGCCGTACCCGGGGACCGGCGGGAACGCGTAGGAGCGGTCGCTGAGGACGCAGAACGGGAGGCGGCGCTCGCGTGCGGCCACGCCCGACACATTCAGCTGCGCCGCGAACGCCGCCTCCGAGTTGAGCGCCGCGTAGCCCGCGGCGGCCAGGCGCGGGAGCATGGACAGCCGCGACAGCGCGGCGTCACTGGAGCGACGACCGCCGTAGCCTAGACGGTCGTTCAGGCCGCCGTAGCGGGAGCCCTCTGGGACGACGTAGTAGTCGGTGGAGGAGGGGAGGAGGAGGTCGGCGTCGTCGAGGCGGAGTGGCGCCGTCCAGAAGCCGTCGAGGCGGGTGCGGAGCACGGCGGCGTAGGTGAAGTTGCCTCGGGACTCGCGGTCGCGGATGAGGTCCAGGCACCCCTCCACCAGCCGGAAGTACTGCAGCAGGCCCTGTAACAATTGCAAATTTTAATTTGCAATGCAACGCATGCATCAGTAATCAGTTGATTAAGCTTAAAATAAGCTGAAACTAGAAGCTAAGCATGATGTCATTTTTAGCCTTGGTTTGGCCTGAACATGACACAAAAGAGAAAATCGGACTAAATTTAGGTGGTGAGGGCATCTGTTCCTGTTCTATCATGGTGCCGGCACCCTTTCTTGCAAGGGTGCATGCAGAATTCGGTGGCCAGGTGCTTTTCATGTCTTTTCTTCAACACAACACACACAAAAGGTGATGATGAGATGATATGGACTTTGGAAAAGCTGCTGCTATTCTTACTTTTCTTTGTCTGCTTTCATTTCACGTGTGTCTGCTGCTTCTTTATTCCTAGTACTACTATGTGTATAGTAGTGCTGCAAGAGTTTAGAGCTAGCCGATCGGCCCGGAATAACTTTACAAGCGATTTAAATTTATTTGTTTAAGTAGATTATTAAGTCGTCTGAGATGTATGATATGATGGAAAAAAAATATCCCAAATATATCTTACATATACCTGTCTGTGTCTGGGGATGCAGGATTTTTCTTTAGAAAAAAGAAACATCCAATTGACTTTTTCGAGGAATGCATGTACACAGAAAGAGAATCGTACGCGTGCAAAAGCCGTGTGAATGTGTGATCATTGAAGAAAGAAATCGCATCAAGTTATAAGTCGCTTTGATTTAGCTTTGATTTTTCTTGGTACATCCATTTTCACTATATATCTGGACATACATATCAAATACATAGCAAAATTGATGTAAAAAAACAGTCAAAACGACCTATATAGCTTGGAACGGAGTGAACGGAGTGAGTACTACGTAGTCAGGAATTAACTCTTCAATCGGATGCAGGGGGCAAAGGCCTGGTTTAGTTGGCTAAATTTTGGAAATTTGGTTACTGTAGTACTTTCGTTTTTATTTGGTAATTAGTGTTTAATCATGGATTAATTAGGCTCAAAATGTTCGTCTCGCAATTTCCAACTAAACTGTGCAATTAGTTTTTTTTCGTCTACATTTAATGTTCCATGTACGTATCACAAGATTCGATGTGATGACTGCTATGGCATTTTTTGGGAAATTTTTTTGAAACTTAACGAGGCCAAAGGTAAATAATCGGTTGGGTGTACAATTTGTACACACGTTGACCAAAGGGAAGGGCAGGGCCGGGGCGGGCCGCCTTGCTTGCTTACGGGAATGACACGTAGCATTAGCATACGGTACTAGCGTGTTGTAATTGTAACTTGCACGTGGCATTTAATCACTTGAAAAAAAGATACAACTCTAGAGTAACCAAATTTACATAAAAAAAGATACTGATATTTGTCATAATATAAATAAGTATCGTTAGATTTGCTATAAAATTCATTTTTATAGTATATATATTTTCTTGAAGTCATGCGTGCTGGTAACATTTTGTATAAAATTCTCTAAACTTAAAATACCTTAACGTATCAAAACTCTAGAATTTATTGGAATGAGAATGTAGTAGTAGCAGTAGGAAAGGACACAACAGGGCACGACCACGAAGGATTATTGGTGACGACATTTTTAGGCCGGTTTGGAATTTTGCGCCGTGTTTTATTTCAGAAAGTTGGAATTTGGGGCTACTGTAGCACGTTCGTTTTTATTTAATAATTAGTGTTCAAACATGAACTAATTAGGCTCAAAACATTCGTCTCGCAAATTCCCATCAAACTGTGCAATTAATTTTTTTTATCTACATTTAATACTCCATACATAAGTCGGGACGACCCAGCCAGCTAGCTAGCTGGTAGCATTAAAGCCCGTATGCATGGGGATGGATGGATCGATCACGGCAGGAGCGTGATGTCAGGCATGACGCTGGCCAGCTTTTGATGATTAATTAATTAGTCCTCTCTAGCTAGCGCCTTGTTTAGATGTCTAAATTCTAAGTTTTTTTACCTTCTCTCAATCACATCAATTTTTAGCCGCTTGCATAGAGTATTAAATATAGGTAAAAAAAATAACTAATTACACAGTTTAGTTGGAAATCACGAGATGAATCTTTTGAGCCTAGTTGGTTCACGATTGGACAATATTTGTCAAATAAGACGAAAGTGATACAATTTATCAGGTTTAATTTTTTTTTTCAGAGTGAACGAGGCCTAGATCTGTCGCGGTAGTAGTGGCAGCATCGAACAAGCAACTAAGTACGCCACATGCCACAAGTCGTCGGCCGCCCGTCGTCGTCGTCTTGTACCTTCTTTCCTCCGACGACGGACGGATGGCCGGACGGCCGGTGATGCTCGCTGCTGCTGGTTTTCGTTTTCAGGTGACCTTAAACCACGGACGCATCACGCATGCATGGATAGACACGCTCCACGCTGCTCAAACAGTACAAGAGGGCTTCTGCTTCTCCGTTCCGTGGGCCAAGCAAGAGACGTGACCGCCTTGTGCCGGATTACTCTATAGTATTAATTAATTGCACACGTAATTGACTGGATGAACGCATGGGTTGGCTGCTGTCACAGTCTAATTAATCTCCGTGCATTTGTCTACCAAACATAACGTGTGTGGATTATAGTCCTGTTCGATTGGTTTATAAGTCGTATTTTTTTTATCCAACGGACAGTATTTTCATCAACTGCAGCGGAGTAATTATTATGGTAATACATTTTATTTTTTTATTATATATAAATATGCAAAGTAATTTCCTTTCGAGGGATAGATGGGTCACGCTCGCTACCTAGCTGATCTTGGTGGGCCCGGCATGCACGATTCTCATGAATATTACACTACGTAGTCCTCTTCTTTATAAATTCGATCAAATTCAAAAAGAAAATTGACCAAGTCAAAATTTATTTCAACAGTTTATATTAAGGAAGAGTATACTACTGATTGCTACTCCTACGTACGTACGTAAACAGCATCGTATACGGAGTAAATCGGAATCTATCTATCTGTGAGTGATGAGTATTTAAAAGGAAGTTGCATTGATTGATGGTTGGGATTCGGGAAACCGCATTTGCGGGGATGTTTATATCGAGTAATCGGTATCTATCTACAGGAAGTACGTACACGTCTACTACCAAGCTATTATTAGTTGAGTTTATTCATATCTCTGTTTTCGAAATTCTTACTGGCATAAATAAATAAATAAAAAGTAACAAGAAACTAAAAATGGTATAAACTTTCTAAAAAGGATTCGAGGGAGTAGTATCGCAGCACTAACAAATAGTAAATAAACGATCAAGAGCACGAAGTGATTTGATTTTTGTTTTTTCTAACAAGACAACGAAAAAAGGAACCACGAAAAGCGTAACGCGATCTTATCTTATCTTTTTGCTGGCGAAGCAAAAGTTTATCAAAGTAGTAATTTAGAATGCTATGGTAGTCGAACAGGGGAACCTATAATAAGCTGGAAAGTAAAACTAATCTAATCTAAACTACTCGATGATCGAGGTAGCAGAGGAGAGACAGCGCAGGAGGCATGGCATGCAAGCAACGCAAGGAACAAACAAGGAACCAATGCGATCCAAGTCGACGATCGAGCAAGAGGGAGATCCAGAGAGAGAGAATGCGACTGACCTGGAAGCCGTTGGGCGAGTTGAGGGCGGTGAGCACCTGCGCGCGCGCCGGCGGCGTCGTCACGTCGAGGCGCTCCGGCCGGAACACGCGCACGGCGGCGACGCTGACGTTGTTGCTGCTGGTGCCTGTCGCGGGAACGGCGGCGCGCGCCAGGAGGGACAGCTTGTACGCGTCGGCGTCCAGCGGGGCGTGCAGGAACACGTCGACGGCCGTCTGGTTGCTGCTGCTGTGGTGCCCCGGCGCCGCCGATGCGGGGACGGCGAACGCGCCGCCGGCCAGGACGTGGCGCGCGATGGAGGGCCCCGTGAGCTCGAACCGCCGCGCGCCGCCCACGAGGCAGACGGCGACCCGTGCGGTGGAGGTGGAGGTAGTGGTGGCGGTCCGACGGGGCGGCTGGTGGGGCGTCGTCACCAGCGGCGGCTGCAGCGGCGTTGGGAGCGGGATGGCGGCGAGGCGGAGCGTGGAGGGGAAGGAGAGCACGGCGGCGAGGAAGAGCAGGAGCGGCGCCAGCACGGCGGCCAGGCGGCTGCGCGACCGGAGGTGGTCGTCCGGCGGGATCATCGCCGTCGTCGTCGTGACCACGCCGTCGGGTTTCATCTTCGTCGTCACGGCCGGCGGGCTGCTGCTGGCTAGTATGCGCTTGGCAGAAGAGGAGGAGGAGGCTACGTTGCTCGCTGGCTACTTGTGGCAGGACGGCGCTGGGAGGGACGGAGTTATCAAGGAGAAGGAAGGAAAGCGCCGCGGCGGGCGGCGACACGCCCCACCCAGCACGGCGTCGGGAGTCGGGAGTCGGGAGGGGTACGGTGGTGGTGGGCAGGTGGTGCCGCCCGCGTTGCGATTGCGATCCCGCGGCCCCGCACGGCGGTTGCCAAGCAAGGCCAAGGCCGCGCTTGGTTGGTTGGTGAGACGGACTTGGTTTTGCGATGCGTTGGTGAGGGGAAGACTTGGCGTGAGCGTGATCCAGCTTCCTCCTCCTCCCTTTGGCCACCTTTGCCAGTGGAACGGAATGGGCCGGCCACCTCTCATTGGAGGGCCGGGAATGGGCCACCTCTCAATGGTGTACGTACGTGCCCATGGACCCCAGTTTGGCGTGCATCTATCGTCTCTTCTTCCGTTCTTAAACACCTCACTGACGACGACTGCTTTTTCATCTTGATCTAATAATATAATAATAATAACCTTCAACAACAAAAGGATTTGTTGCATTCTATGCATCGCAGGAGTCCCCAGCAGCACATTTTCATGCTCTGCTTCTTCTTCCTTCTTAAACTTGAACAACATGCCTGCGTGTAATAATAATTATAAAGAAAGAAAGTGCCATCATGTTCGTTTCGGAGCAAAATTAAAAGATGGACGACGGGCTAGCCGAGGCTGTTTCAGCACAGCCAGCCAGCCAGCTTCCCCATTCTCAGCTACACAGTGTGCTAGCTCTCACTAGAAGAAACCAAACAGCAGCAGCCACGCACGTACTCTCTTGGCTTAATTGAAGACACAGCCAAACGAACCATCCTGGGATTCTGCTCTGCCTTTGTTATTTACACTAGCGTACCCACGGAGAGAGACGCATGCACGTACGTACTCCTTATTTGGCTACGTGGAAAATCCACTCCCTGGTGGTGGTAAAGCCTTGGATTCAAGGAATCGGAATAGGAGAAGCAAGCGACGAAATTATTGTTCGATAGCGCTTTGCCCGATTCCCGTGGAACGGAGCGAACGCAACTGCTCCACCTCACGTTTTTCGGTTCCGCTCCACGTGTTTTTAGCTAAACAGGTTCTGCTCCACGTAACTCTGCTCCAGAAAGAAAATGTGAAGTTATAAAAGCATATAAATGGAGCTCCACAGACTCCAGGTTTTTAATGGAGCTATTCTAGGGCGGAGGCTGTGGAGCAGTCCGACACCCCCTAACTCGATTTATATAGGTAAATGACGACACCAATGAATATATAGTAACTCTGGAGCTAGATCGATGGTAAATTGGTAATCATAAATCAAAAGAACAACAAAGTTGCAGCGTAGGTTTGGTGGGACTCCAAACCTACCCTGGACCTTTGCTATTCCTTGATTATTGGTCGTCAGTGCAGCCTCATCGCTAGCCGGGTATTATACTTGGTCAACTAAGAACCCAAGCATTGTTTCCAGGCGCAATTCTGCCTGGAGACTCATGCCTGTGGCCGATGCGTGCAACGACTACGTAGAAGTCTTTTGGTAGAACTCAGATAGTCTACGTGCTTAAATTGTAGCTACAGAATTATATTGATGATATTAGACAGAATAATAACTTCAAAGGTCTAGACAATAATGTTGATCTCTCAGTTAAGCTTGTTGAAACAAAGAGGCACAAAGTGTATGATATTGTTTATGAGCTCCTCAAATTGGTATTGCTTCTACCCATGGCAACGGCAAGTGTTGAAAGGATATTTTTTGCGAAGGTTTTAGTGAAAACAAAGTTAAGAAATAAGATAGTAGATAGTCTTTTGGATGATTGTCTAGTCACTTTCATTGAGCGGGATATGTTCTTTGAAGTTGACGAAGATGATATAATCAAGACATTTATGTCCCTTCGAAAGCGTCGAATAAAATAGTCAGAAAATAGCATTATAAGTCTTCAGTTCTCTTTTATGCCTATATTTCAATTATCGGTATGGCTTTTGAACTATTTAGACTATATTTAGTGGATGGTTTGAACTTAATCCATGAATTTAAGCCTTATTGTGTTACTTAGTGCATATATACCGAATCACGTTGTCAATTTTATAATTATTACCGAATTGCTAAAATAGATTTACCGAATTGTATATAAAATTTTTTTAGAGCCATACCCTTAGACAAAATCGTAGATTCGCCATTGGGAGGCGCACCTGTAGCCGGAACACGGGATCGATGAAACGAAGGGAAAACCCTCAGTGCGGGTGTCGTCCCGTTTCTGACGACTTGGAAACAGAGCCAACTCATTTCGTGGCCACTAAACCTTTTCCTTCACTCTCTTTGTCAATAGGGGCTAAAAACAATGTTTTGACTGAAATGTTGTGAGAGAAAAACACTATTCTGACTGAAAAAAGAAGCCGAACCAGTCGAATATGGGGTAAGCCGAACGGGGCCTTAATTTTTGCTGATGTGTCACCATATTTAATGCTCATAAAACTCACGTGACATCCATTGAGACTAGCCTAAGACGACTTCTCCGGTATATAATGGTGTTAAACGTGAGACGACGACCGGTTCGTCCATAAGTGCCACATAAGTATGTCAAAGCAACCCCTGCATCTGTATATGTATAGTTTTATTATTGGTAGGCGGTATATAAAGGTGTCAATTGAAGAGCGACATGCATGGTGGAGAGATGCTGTCATGCATGCCTCAAGCATGGTGGCACAAGATGAACAAATCTCATATCCTGCGCAACAGCTTAGAGCTGTCAAGCGAGCCCATGGGCTGGAACAACACGGGCTACCTCCTTGCTTTCTTATGCCGTGCTGGGTCCGGCCGGTCTAATCGGCTGTGCCGGATCCTAAGCCGTCCGGTTTGGTCATCTATATTAATAACGATGGAGTACTAGCTTTTGATTAGCTACTTCCATTTTTTTATCCTACTCTCCATGCTAATTTGTACTGGCGTAATTAAATTGGACCTTTTTTTTTTATCCTGACCCAGTCGTGGGCCCAAAAGGAGCCCACCTTTCAAATTCATTCCAAGAATTTTCAACGTCTTCTTCCCCACATCGTCGTCAAGCACCGGGAGTAAGGAACGCAGCAAACAAGCCGTGCAATTTGAGATTCAGGCCATAAAAATTTCATATCCACCGCATCATAAATCACTCGGGCAGTGAGACGTTACATCAATCCATGCCACCAAATGTAGCCTTCATAGTCAGGTTGGGTGCACTAAAAACCTTCTTCAAAACGTAAAACCTATGCATCACAAAAAACTGATTATATGGACAATTTTACAGCTTACAGTTACAATTTTGTTAATGATTAGCCAACATCGTCTGGCGTCTACTGTAATCTAAGCAGACACTGCCTGACACCATTCTGATCCTACAAGCCTTGTCACATCATGTCATGTCCAAATATGCGGATTGCCAACTCCGAATAGCAGGGTGCAGAAGCAGAGCCGTGTTCCAGCTCTGTTGAATGTTTCATGCGCTTTGTTCATCTGAGGCAATGAAAGGCGATCGCTCTTGCACCCGAAATTCAGCTCAGAGGAGGGGCCCAACCCCCAACCAATGCTTTCTTTGGTACTCATTTCAAGGATCAAACAAGCTACCTGACTGTCTGTTTCTGCTCTTTGATATCCGTGTGCAGAACATGAACATCAACAAGAATGTTGACAGCAAAAATAGCCGGAAGTAAGTCCTTAGCTCCTGCATTCCAAGGTCGAGGCCTTCCAGTTTCCTCCCGTCACGGCTACTCTTCCGCTCCACATTTCTCTCGACAATGCCTCCTCCAATTGGAACCCAGTTTTCCAGTGTGCCTTGTGATACTATCTGGGCATCCCGTAGGTTTCGCAGGCCTTCCTCAAAAAGAATGAGAAATGCCATGCACCACTTGTTAATGACTCTCTGGTGAGGGAAAAAAAAACACTAGAGATCAGAAAAAAAAAATGCCAACAAAAAAAATCCTGAGGTACATGAATGCAAGATTTACATACGTCAAATGTTTTCTTGTCAACAGGATTGAACATTTTGAAGCAGTCGTCAGTAGATGCTTTCTCATCTCCATATATCTGAATAACAGTACCATCAGCTCAGTGCTGTTATGTTATGTCTATATAGAGCTTTGTGCTAGTCCAGATAGGGAGTTATAGACAATAGATTAACTGACCTCAAAGGTGAATGGCATTGGCACCTTTGCAATGTCATACATGTAATCAGTTGTCGTACCATGTGCAAGATATCTGGTAAGGGAAGGACAAAAAATATGAACATACTTGCTTTGCTGAAGAGTTATAATTTGAGAAGATGAGAACATGCTAGATGAACATACCCAACAGATCCACCACCTGACCCAACTAGGCAGCTATCTTGGAAATGGCGACGGTTCAAATTCTCTAGGACTGACCGCATCAACTGTGCAGACGCTCCATTTGGTGTGGTATTCTTGTGATCATATGGCATAAATAAGGCCTAAGGTTGAAGAACAGAAAAAAGACGAGAAAAACATAAATTAGCAGCATTAGTGGTACATCAGAAGGGTTTTGTGCAACTACAAGGAATAGGTCTCTCTTTCCATGTTGGTTTTTCTTTGTTATTATTATTTTATTTTATGATAGTTATTGAAATGTGCTTTTTGCTCATCTTCCACAACTCCAAAAAACAATCATGGTTAGTAGCTGTATTGCAACAAACCAGACCTCATAGTATTCCGTGCTAGGTGAATATGAGTCACAACCCGATAGATAAACAATATGCATCTTGTTTACTACATTTATGAAGGGAAAAGGGCATCTATAATAGAAAAGGGCAGACCCAGTGCCGGAGGCTCCCACATGAGTGGGGTCTGGGGAAGGGAAAAACTGAGGCAAGCCTTCCCCCCCCGCAAAATCTACGGAGAGGCTCTCATACATATCATATTGTTCCGATTATACCTTGGGCATTGTTTATGACACACTAGCATGTGGCCACATGATGATAAAAGAATGTTTTATATGATGTAGCCCGAGAAAGTCGAGGAATAAAAAAATTGGTAGTCAAGATTTACAAGTGACAAGACGGGAAACATGCTTGAAAGTAGCTTCTTTCCAGAAGGGTCAATTTGTCATCTTTTTGTGGCTTAGTTGCATCCTAAGCAATGATCCAACTTGTTATTATGCATCACGTGCAGGATGTCAACAGAATATAAGAGGGTTGGATTACCTCCATTCCAGAATGCACGTTCACCCAAATATGAGGTTTAAACGACCTGGATAGTTCCCTCATGATCTGGGCCTCAGGTTCGCTAAAAGGAGCAATACCAGGATTCTCCTCATATGGGTCATAGTCCTATAATACATGAAAAGCCACAAAAAAAAGTTCAATAGACTAATAACATGCATATTTATATGACTTTGATTGGACCCAACAAGAAACATGTAAGATAAAATAAAACAATGAACCTGCCACATATAAAAGTTCACTTGCGCAAAATCCGCAAATGACAAAACGTTGGCAGGATTAAACCCAAGTACACAACAATGACCAAGGAATATAGACAGTAATGCATGGGCAAAATCTTTGACTCAAAAACCAGTGATCGTAGATGACAATAAGCCTAGTTTTTCCTGCTATAGTATGTTTGATTTGAACTACAAAAGTTCATCCAGTGATTCCACAAAACCACAAAACATAGACATTTGTAAAGATCTGCAGAACACCCAACCCGAAACAGACATGGAATACACATGGTAATGCATGAAAAACCACAATCATCCAATTCTCCATAGATATAACTCTATACCCAAAATGAGCATTCCTAGATCAGTTTACAAGGGCAATGCACTTATGTGCATGATATGAAGTAGAAGTACACAAACTTGTCAAATAATTACGCAGAACTAACTGTGAAACATGGAAATTCACACACACACAACGAGCTACTGCTAGCCAAGATTCAGTCCAAGATATAATTTTAAATAATCAACATGCAAATGCTGAGAGGTATTCGAATTTTCCTGTGAACATTGAGAAACTACTGAGATACTTACCTTTTCTTTCATTCCCCAGTCAACACTCCAATTTCTGTTAAGATCAACTCCTCTTCCTGCCACAGGGAAATATATATAAAAAAAGATGTTGGCATAAAAACTGTTTGTAGTGATGAATTAGTGAGAAATGGACCAATCACCATTTCTCCTATCACAAAGTTCCCCTTCTTCAACAAGTTTGCGACCATTCATATTTTCCATTGGCACAACCTAAAAGAGAAAGCCACATGTGAAAAACATTACAACTCCTGACACCAAGATGTGATTATGTACTTGATACAGAACAATAATAAACAAAATAGTGGGAGGGGAAACAAACAGAAGGACACAAGCAAAGGTGACAATACTAAGTACGTATCGACATGTAATGGTAATGTTTCTACTTTCAAGGCCAAATCCATACTGTTTAAACTAGAACAACATAATTGGCATCCTAAGAGCAACTCCAAAAGAGTAGCTACTTATGCCATACAATCTAATTTTGGCTATTTTCAGAAGAAATAAGGGTCCAACAGCTATTCTATCTTGTAGTCTAAAATAACAAGCTGTGTATCCCGGATATCTCGGTAGCTAGAAAAAGCAAGCCGAGGGCGCTTGCTATCTGCCGCCCCCGCGCCGATTCCCGAGACTTCCTGTCCTGTGACTTCGTTTCCGCGACTTCATGTCCCGTACTCCCGTGCGCGTACGGCGGCGGGCGCCATCATGTCCCTCGCGATGGACGAGGCCTCCGGGCAGCTGCTGGCAGTCAAGTCGGTCAGGCCTGGGACCGCGTACCAGCTGCAGCACGAGGACCACGTCTTGTTTGGGCTTCGCTCGCTGTACATTGTGCCCTGCCTTGGCTCTCCGGTGCTGGCGGCTGGCGCAATGCAAGCGGCGAATACCAGCTCTTCCTCTAGTTCGCACACTACGGCTCGCTTGCAGATAAGGCGTCAAGAATGGGCGAGGTCACATCCAGGAGCGTGACATCCAGAGGTACACGGGACATGGTGAGGGGCCTTGCCTACTACCTCGTGGACAGGGACGGCCGGACAGGGGACGTCAAGGCTGTGAACACGGACGCCGTCCTGGAGATGCCCGCGTGGCTGTCATCGGAGTTTCAGGAGAGCGTGGCTGGTGGCCAACTGCTGGTTCATGCCCGGCTGTGGCCTCGTTCCCGGTGCGTGCGACAGCGGAGAAAGGATCGTAGCCTCGTAGGAGTGATTCAACGAGGAAGACGAATGACGTGGCAGTTTTTAAAATATAGAATGAGAAATTTAGCAAGACTGTTGTGTTACTCTATTATTTTGAGGGGTATTCTATTTTAGCAAATGGCTAAATCATAGATTTTAGAATATAATTTTAGACCATCTCTTGGAGTTGCTCTAATACTCCATCCTATACAACCACCATAATAGCAATTAATCATGGTGCACTACAATTTTAAAAATGCAAGCATGACAACATGAAGCTCATGATCACAATACTGGTGCAGGGCATAGCAGAACAAAGGGCACATTTATAAAATGTGTTCCATAATTTATTAACAATTATTTAAGAGCTGAATGCAAATAAGAACTCACCTTGATCACAAGGTTCTCCAGCAGTTTCTCAAAGGATGAAAGATCCACACCAGCGATCTTAGGCTTCTCCGTTAAAATATAGAGAAGATGTAATGCAACTTCAGAGGTAATAAGTTCTCTGCCATGCTGCCCAAAGCTCTGGAAGACAATGAACCTTTCTGTCAAAACCGCAAAGTATCAATAATTTAATTTACTAATAAACACACAAATACTAATGAATAGACTTGTGTTTATTAGTTTTTTCTTCTTTTATGTCGTTGTCGTGCACCCTCTCAACGGAGGTGAACTAAAATGGTGGAGAATATTTGAATGGAACGCTCATATTTGTTCCTGAGATATTGGATCAATATGCTGAGCAGCTTTTCGAGTGAAGCATAGATTTGGGGAAAAGAGTGAAGAAATCTTAGTTGGAAACTGACCAGAAGGATATGAACTTTCGAGCCATTATCCATACTCTCCTTCAAGTGATTAAATGTAACTACAAACAGCTCCGCAGAATAGCCTTTGTTGCTTGTTCTGATAGTGTCCATCTGCAACACATTATTCAGAATTGGATAAAGGGGACTGCTGGAGACAAAGCAAACTGACCAAAGACAATTGCACAAGAACAGGGAAACCACTCACGCTCAATTTGTCGGAATGCCGAGCAACCAAAGCCTTGATTTCACGCAGAAGAGAGTCACTAGCAAGAGAAGTGAAAAAAATCACTATGCCATCATATACGAAGAAAAAAGTGTGGATGGTCCGTGAACTAAGCACTGACAAGTTAAGAGGCATGTTTTTATTAAAGGAGAAGCTGAGCAGGCCAGCGGGGAGCAAGCAGCTCTCAGGTTTGGATCTCGACTAGAGTTATTATCAAACAAAAGTGAAGGGTGGAGGGTTCACCAAGTCCCAATCACCAAACTATGCACCCGAAAATCCGAAAAAGTGAAATCGCCAGCGAGTGGCAAGCTAAAGCTAACAAATACATAGCTCGTAGCAGCAAAAAGGTCGAATCCCAATTGCCACACAAGGTGGGAGCGTGTAGAGAAATGAATTTCTGGACAGTCTTATTTTTGCTTAAATTTTGAACAAAAAAAAAGTTTGGTTCGGACACAGGCCACAGGTGGGTAGACTCTACCACCGCGCCAAGCCCGCCCTTGAGGAAGGTCGAATCCAGCTACAAAAGAGGTCGAAGTCGAACCATGCCATTTTTACACAAGCATAGCCTGTAATGTATCAACTGAGGTCGAATCATGCCATTTCTACACAAGCATCGCATGTAACGTATCGACTGGTACTTAGAGGAGACAGTGTTGGATACATTCAGTCGGGTCGAAACGCGCAGCAAGCAAAGCCAAATTACGCACAAGCGACAGTAAATCCCAGTGAGATCAATCACGCGTGAGCCGAGAGCAATCCGCGACTCGAACCAGCCCAACATGACGCGGACAGTGGCTGGCGTGCCTAGAGAAGAAGGCATTTGGCCAGAGCAGGCAGCACCGCCGCGAGCCAGACAAATAGTCGTCGGAACCGGGGCACGAGTTGCGGTGGACGCAAGGGACGGGGGGGGGGGTGGTCAGCTCACCTGGGTGGTAGATGTCGCGCGAGATCGGGGTGCGGGGGCCCGAGATCTTGCCCGCGGCGGCACCGGCGAGAGCCAGGGCTAGGGTCAGGAGGCGGAGGAGGAGAGGAGGAGGGGAGGCGGCGGCCATCTTCGCTGTGCTGTCGTGGGCGGGGCGGGCCGGGGAGAGGGTCGTCGTCGGCGAGCCGCTCGCTCGCTCGCTGGCCCGCTTCCCTGTCTCCTTGCGTTGAGAAGACAGAAGAGTGGATCGATGCGGGTGATGGATTTTGTGCAAACAAGAAAACGTGGTGAAAACGTGGTGCTACCGTAACATATGTTAATTATGAATTAATTAGATTTAATAAATTTGTCTCATTAGCTAATCTACTCTTGTACCGTTAGTTTTATATTTAGCTTATATTTAGTTTTTCTAATTAACATACGAACGTATGATGCGACAGAAAAAACTTTAGTCCCTGCCAAACACCGGTAGGTCTTTAGGCGTACAATACGAATGCACCCCTAAAATGCATAAATAAAATATAAAAACAGTGATTCAACCTATAACCTCACCGCATAAGCACCCTTTAGAGTAGCAACGGTGTGCTCCGATGCTGAAAAATAGACTATTCTGGTGCCATCTCTGATGCTTTAGACTCTCTGATGCATACAACGTTCCGCATCGAGGTATATGTGCTGGTGGGACCCATCTGTTTGGAAATCAAAGGTACAGTATAGACTGGAATGATATTTATTGTATTCAGCCAGCGTCGAGGCGTGTTCTTTACCCGATGCTTGGATTTTTCAACTCGGCATCGTGCTGCACAACGGGACATTTGGTCGTATCTTGGATTATTTATTGCTGTCTGATTTGGTATGAGAGAAAAATACAATTTTAACTTATAATTCACGATCGTATATGAGCAAACGAACAGACTGTCGATGCTTGGATATTCTCTCTCTTGATTTAGCATCGTGCGTCGGGATTAATATTATTAGTTGGATACAACTATGTATACAGGCCCACCAATTGTTCGAGCTCGAGATAATATCTATTGCTCATGGGTGGCAGGGTTGGTGATTATTTCTTTTCTTATCTAGAGTAGCATCGAGAAAAGTCGAAACGAACTAAAATAATTTTAAAAAAAAAAATAGAACGAGTACGATGATCCTTGGTGCGGTGGAGGAGGTAACGAGGTTACAGCATCGGCCCTTGGGCAGGCAGTGGCCAGCAACTTACGGTGAATTGTCGCGTATCGTTAATTCGTTATGGACAATGGTTCAGTAGTTTTTTCTCATAATAAATTAGCTGCAGCCGAACTCCGCCTATGGTGGGGCGTATTTGGTGTTCCAGCATAGCAGGTCCTAAGCCCTGGTAAAGGAGGAGGGTTGTGTTAGGCGTGACGAGCCAATGTAAAAACTTAGCCACTTTAATGGAGATGAAACCCGAAAGAAAATCGTTGGGGTGTAACCCTCTTAGCGACGCGCCATATCGGAACCCGGGTATGGTGTTAAATGGGCAAGGGCTGGGTCGTCACCCCCGTGACGCGCCGTGTCGTGATCTAGGCATGGTGTCAAGTGAGCAAGGATCGGGTCGTCGCTTCCTTAGTGGCGCTCTACATCGGCGCCCGGGTGTAGTGAAAAATGAGCAAGGGTCTTCGCATCTGAGTCGACGGGTGCGAAGGGTAAGGAAGCTAGTCGAACCAACTATGATCCGTTTAGATAGTTGGAATGTAGGGTTACTTACAGGTAAGTTAAGAGAATTAGTTGATACCGCGACTAGGAGGCGTGTAAATATATTATGCGTTCAAGAGACTAAATGGAAGGGTCAGAAGGCGAAGGAGGTGGACAATACAGGTTTCAAGCTTTGGTACACAGGAACAGTCGCGAATAGAAATGGAGTAGGAGTTTTGATTGATAAGAGTCTCAAGAATGGTGTGGTGGGAGTGAAAAGGCAAGGGGATAGGATTATCTTAGTCAAGCTTGTCATTGGTGATATGGTCTTGAACGTAATTAGTGCGTATGCCCCCCAAGTATGCCTCGACGAGAGTGCTAAGAGACAGTTCTGGGAAGACTTAGATGGCCTGGTTAGAGCTATACCTAGTAGTGAGAAGCTTTTTATAGAAGGAGATCTTAATGGGCATGTAGGTACTACAAGCGTAGGTTTCGAGGCAGTTCATGGAGGTCTTGGGTATGGTAGTAGGAATCAGGAGGGGGAGGAAGTTCTGGACTTCGCGGTAGCTTTTGACCTGATGATAGCCAACACTTTCTTTAGAAAGAGAGAATCTCATCTAGTGACATTCAGTAGCGGACAACACTGTAGCCAGATTGACTTTGTCCTCGCAAGAAGAAAGGACAAACGGGCATGCTGGGATTGCAAGGTGATACCAGGGGAGTGTGTTGTTTCTCAACATAAGCTTTTGGTGGCAGATTTTCGTTTTCAGGTGCGTGCCCGTAGGGATAAACAAGCTAAGATTCAAAGAACAAAGTGGTGGAAACTGAAAGGGGAGACGTCAGAGGTATTCAGGGAAATGGTTATCAAAGAGGGCTCTTGGAAGGAAGAAGACGACATAAACAACATGTGGAATAAGATGGCAACCAACATTCGAAAGGTGGCCTCAGAGGTGTGTGGAGTAACCAAAGAAAGTGGAGGCGAGGCTAAAGATACTTGGTGGTGGAACGAGGAAATCCAAAGGGCTATTAAGGAGAAGAAAGAATGCTATAGACGCTTGTACCATGATAGGAGTGTGGACAACATAGAGAAGTACAAGGTGGCAAAAAAGACTGCAAAGCGAGCTGTAAGTGTGGCAAAGGATAGAGCGTACGAGGATCTTTACCAACATTTGAGTACGAAGAAAGGAGAGAAGGACATTTATAGGATGGCTAGGGTTCGTGAGAGAAAGACACGGGACTTCAACCAAGTTAAGTGCATTAAGGATGAAAGGGAGCATCTCTTGGTGAAGGAGGATGAGATCTGACATCGATGGCAAGAGTATTTTGATAAATTGTTCAATGGTGAGAATATGGACACAACCTTTTAGTTGGATGACTCTTTTGATGACACCAATAGGCGCTTTGTGCGGAGAATCCAAGAATCTGAGGTCAGAGAGGCGTTGAAAAGGATGAAAGGAGGTAAGACGATGGGACCAGATGGTATCCCAATCGAGGTGTGGAGATGCCTCGGGGACATAGCTATAGTATGGCTAACCAAGCTGTTCAACCATATTTTTCTATCGAACAAGATGCCTGATGAGTGGAGGAGAAGTATATTGGTACCGATCTACAAGAATAAAGGGGATATTCAAAGTTGTACTAATTATCAGGGAATTAAGTTGATGAGCCATACTATGAAGCTATGGAAGAGTTATCGAGCATCGCTTGAGAGCAATAACGCGGGTCTCTGTGAACCAATTTGGTTTCATGCCCAGAAGGTCAACCATGGAAGTCATTTTCTTAATAAGACAAGTTATGGAGCGGTATAGGGAGAAGAAGAAGGACCTACACATGGTTTTTATTAACTTGGAGAAGGCTTATGATAAAATACCAAGGAATGTTATGTGGTGGGCTTTGGACAAACATAAAGTCCCAACGAAGTACGTCGGGCTCATTAAGGACATGTACAACAATGTTGTGACTAGAGTTCGAACAAGTGATGGAGACACGGATGACTTCCTGATTAGGATAGGACTACATCAAGGGTCAGCTTTGAGCCCTTATTTGTTTGCTTTAGTGATGGATGAGGTCACAAGGGACATACAAGGGGACATCCCTTGGTGTATGCTTTTCGCGGACGATGTAGTGCTAGTTGATGAAAGCCGTACAGGAGTGAATCAGAAACTAGAGTTATGGCGGGAGACTTTAGAGTCCAAAGGTTTTAGACTCAGCAGAACTAAAACTGAGTATATGAGATGTGACTTCGGCACTACTACTCGGGAGGAGGAAGCTATTAGTTTGGAAGGTCAAGTAGTGCCTAGGAAGGATACCTTTCGATATTTAGGATCAATGCTACAGAAGGACGGGGACATTGATGAAGATGTTAGCCATAGAATCAAAGCAGGGTGGATGAAGTGGCGGCAAGCGTCTGGTGTCCTATGTGACAAAAGGGTACCACAGAAGCTAAAAGGCAAGTTTTATAGGACGGCGATTAGACCTGCTATGTTGTATGGTGCAGAATGTTGGCCTACGAAAAGACGACATGTTCAACAGCTAAGTGTCGCGGAAATGCGTATGTTGCGTTGGATTTGCGGTCATACAAGAAGGGATCGAGTTCGGAACGATGATATACGTGATAGATTAAGGGTAGCGCCAATTGAAGAAAAGCTTATCCAACACCGGTTGAGATGGTTTGGACATGTGCAACGGAGACCCCCAGAGGCACCGATGCGTAGTGGAATCCTAAGCCAGGATAGTAACGTGAAGAGAGGCAGAGGAAGACCGAAGTTGACTTGGGTAGAGGCAATAAAAGGAGACTTGAAAGGATGGAATATACCCAAAGACTTAGCCTTAGATAGGAGTGCTTGGAAGACAGCTATTCACGTGCCTAAACCTTGATTGCTTCTGATGGGTTTCAACTCTAGCCTACCCCAACTTGTTTGGGACTTAAAGGCTTTGTTGTTGTTGTAAATTAGCTGCAGCTGGTTTATCAACCGTAGAATAGCTCTGTTAGTGCCATTAATTATGGGTGGGCCGGATGAGTCGGCCTATGCGCCTGGATTCTGGCCTGGACTCGACTCTCTGGATAGCGTGGGTAGCCAGCTGGGTAGACCGGGCGGCGGCCGACAGATGGAGAGATTCACCTTTGCCTTGGTCGTCGTCTCGAAGTAGTTTTTTCTCATAATAAATTAGCTTCAGCCGGTTTATCGACCACAGAATAGCTCTGTTAGTGCCATTAATTATGGGTGGGCCGGATGAGTCGGCCTATGCGCCTAGATTCGGCACGGACTCAACTACGGATAGCGGGTACTTACCGGTAGGGTAGACAAGGCGGCGGTCGACGGATGGAGAGATTCACCTCTGCCTTGGTCATCGTCTCGCTCGTTAACACTGTGGTGTGGCCATCCGTCCATCCGCCCGCTCGAACGCTGCTTAGTGGGCCGCGACGCCAGCCTATCTATCTCCTTCCATCTGCTCAGGAGTTTCTAAAAAAAATCT